CTGCGGGCCGGCAGCTTCTCGCCGGGGAAGAGGAAGGGATGTCAGCCTTTCTTTGAAGCAGGCGGGTTGGAAATGGCACGGCATGCCGGGTATGCGCAGAATGCAAAGAGCTATCTCGATGCAAAACACAGGACACTCAAAGCTGTCTGCGGGGTTGTTTTTTTTGCTTTATTCCTCCAGCCCCAAGGGCTTTATGGAGCAAACACTGGTTCTCAATCGATGAATGGATCTTTCTAAGCCTTTTGGTGAAGCGCCCGCATGCACATCAGGAGCACGGGGAACGGGTTTGCCAAGAAACCCCGTAACAGCAATGTCTTCAGATGTCACGGCATCCCCGCTCCCACAGTCACTATCACAAAATAGTCGCTTGGAGCTGCCCCGACCAGACTGCTTCAAGAGCCCTTTCCTATTTTTACCTCTCTGAGGACAAGGCTAAGGGCCGAAGAAAGCTGGCTACGACATCTCAATACAGTTTTCTTAGTGCTTCTGGAGGTGGAAGAGGCAAGCAGACCTCAGCAGGACTGATACTAGCAGAAGGCAGGAGTCCAGCGGCGTTTGCAGACCCTGCTTACTCTGCCCAGGATCAGAGGTGGGCGTCCTCCACAGCTCTTCATCTCTTGGTCTCCCTCAAGCCCTTCACATCGCTCTGCTTAAACGTCTCTTGTGCTCCTCAGCGTCAGCTCTAGGCACCTGATGAAGCTAGAAAAGAAGAAAAAAAGATGCTTCCTCTGCTGCCTCATCAAAACAGAGTGGTTTCAAACACCCAGATCCCCGACGACTATTTTTGAAGTGCCATGGTAGAGCCCTTCCATTCTTTGGAAGCAGTTTAGGGAAGTCCTGCGTGTTCTCAACCCTATCTCAGCCATTTCAGGTGATTTCTTTTCGAAAGCCCTGGAGAAATACCATCTGGTTGGAGAATGTGCTGCCCTTTGACCTTCCCAAGCTGCTCCAGAGCCCCCATCTTCAGAGCCTTCCATTTTTGCAACAGCCGCTCCAATTTCCTTAAAACCAAACGTTCTGGGCAACCATTTCCACGTTGCCCTTTAAAGAGGAACCAGCACAAGAATTTCAATTTATTTCTCTGCATCTCCAAAATTCGCTTACTCCTGAGTGGTCCTGGGAAGCCACGCTCAAACACGTAAAGAAATTACTGCTCCA